GCATGTGCACACCCAGACACGTGCACATACTGGGAGCCATGGCATGTATACACCCAGACACGTGCACATATTGGAATGGCTAACCCTGGCTGTCAACTTGGCCCTACAATCAACTAAAACCTAACTCTCTGGACTCTACTGTGAAGAATTTTCTTGACTAGATCATTTGGTAGGAAGGTTCACTCCTAATCTGGGTTTATTTTTAAAGGTCTGAAGAGCCACCCTAAATCTGGGCCACACCTTCCAGTGTCAGAATACATAAAAAGAAAAGCAAGAAGAAACCTAGCCTTTTTGCAAGTTCATCAGTCCTGCTGCCGAGTTGTTCCTTTCGGGCATTAGGACCTGCTTCTTCAGGACTCCAACACAGCCTGAAGGCCAGCTGAGGCATTCAGACTCGTGGGCTAAATAACTACTGAATTCTTGGCCTTTCTGTCAGGAGACAGCCATAGCAGAACCAGCTGAACAACAGTCTATAAGTCACTCCAATAAAAACCCCTTTAATACAGATTTATTATATTCTGTTGTTCCAGGAACTCTGACTAATAAACATACGTGCAAATAAATAAATGTAGTAACTTTTTATAATTAATAATGATGATAGTAAAGTGGCAAAGTATAAGCTTTCATCTGCTTCCTGAATGCGGACCAAATGCGACCAGCAGCCACTTGCTGCTACTGCTGCCATGTCTGTCCTGCCAAGATGGGCTGTATTTATTGGGACTGTGAGCTCAATAAATTTGTTTGCCAGATATTTTGTCTCTACCATGAAATAAGTAACTAATCCATAAACTCACTCTGCAGGCCCTGCAGAGGAGGCCACGTGCCTTTCCCAGCAGACAGGAGGGTGTGTGCACACCTGTTATAGACAGCCATATGGGATGTGCCGGCTCCCTGACAGCTGGCCTATCTAAGCTCTCTCCCCTGACTCCAGGCTATGACTGGTTTCTGTGAGGAGTCAGAACGGGGGTAGGCAGTGAGGATAGAGGTAGGAGGAAGGATATAACATCCCTACTTGGGAAGGAGACAATCTCATAACATCTGGAAAGTAATTAACCAACATCCATTAACCTGGGCCATCTATCAAACCAAAGCGATTCACTGGGTAACACCATGTGTTTTTCTGATTATTTCAGTCAACAATGCCATCGTTTGAGGGTATTTTCTGTTGGGGCTGAGGAAATGAAATGTGGGGAAAGGCTCAAAGGGAGAAAAGGTCTAGGGAGCCTATAAGGACCAGCTCAGAGACCACTTGGCTCTGGAAACCCCGCCCTTCCTGACAGTGTGTTTTCTGCTTCAATAAATATCCATTTTTTACTCCTTCTGAGTCTTTATTTTCTTTGTCCATGGGCATTCGGTTCTTTGTTCCCTCCAGGAAGAACCCGGACACTGGGGCAGGTGGCACATGGTACCGACAGTCCCCTCACATTTCCCTCTCAGGACACCAGTGAGTAAAGCCAAGCCACGGTGGAGTAATCTAAATCCGTATTGCTGGGGCCTAGTCAGTCATCTATATCCTGAATAAACCTTGTCTTTTATCCTTTGAGATATATTGCAATTATTTATTCGTTTCTTTCTACAACAATGGTCTACACAGTGAGTTCTAGGTGAACTAAGGCTACATAGTTAGACCCTGTGCCCCACCCCAGCAAAAAAAAAGTGGTGGCGTACTTTTAAAAAGTACCAGTCACACCCTTCCAAGTGGCCTAGTTGTCGTTCAGTCCTGTTCCAGCTGTTTAAACTGATAACTGACTTGGGAAATAAAATCGGCGGATTTTCAATATGAGTATGGCCCTCTAGGGATTTAATTATTCAACTTGCTTTGCTTCAGTTTCTCCTGGTTTGGGGGACAAAGTGGGGTGCTTTGCTGAGGCCCCATTTCATCTTCTCTAGAAGGACATAAGACACTTCTGGGCTAAAGGACTTATTTGTTTACAGCAGAAAATGTTCCTAAACTCTTTATCTCACTTAAATAAATCCATTTTTAGTTACATTGTTTATAGAAGGCCCCGGGGGCGGGGGGGGGGGGGTGGCGCAGCCCTTTAATCCCAGCACTCGGGAGGCAGAAGCAGGCGGATCTCTGTGAGTTCGAGGCCAGCCTGGTCTACAAGAGCTAGTTCCAGGACAGGCTCCAAAGCTGCAGAGAAACCAGGTCTCAAAAAGCCAAAAGAAAAAAAAAAGGAGGCCCTGTTCAGGTCTCAATCCTAAGAATAGTTTTGTAGTCAAATATTAACTGTTGAAAGCCAAAGGGTAGGTTTGTGCATGACCTCATGTTGTCTGGTAGTCTCCAAACTGACGCACTTGCTCCAGGAGGGAGTAGACTCATGAGCCTCAGGAGGTAAACAAGAATGTCACATGTCTGGGAGAACAACTTTGGAAGATTCTCCCAGTTCCTCCCAGAGAAGAGAATTTCTGGACCGTCAGCTGCCTGCAGGTTTCCCAGAGAGCTCTCAGGCCGCAGCTGGGGTGGGCTTTGGGGTGATGCATCTGCCTTTGAGCCGTCCCTTCTCCATGTAAGTAACTTCAGCCACTTCTAACCCAATAAAAGCCATTGGTTCAGCAAGGCAGACATTGGTCTAGCTGTTGCTTTGGTTTGCGACAAGCTCCCTTCTTTGGGTGCCCAGTCATTAGGTGTTACATCTTTCCAAGGAAAATCTAAGACACAACACCACATGTGCATGTTAATGCATTTCCTAATGAAGTACGTGCACCTGTACGCATTGCATACTGAGGTCAGTAGTCATAGCTTAATATGTAGTAGACCTGGTCTCAATCACTCTCCATCTTACTGATTGAGACAGGTCTCTCACTGACCCGAAACTCTCCAAGTAGGCTAGACTGGCAGGCCAGTGAATCCCAGGGATCCACCTGCCTCTGCCTCCTTAGCTCTGAGATTACAAGCTATGTGCCGCTACAGTTTGGAGAGGGGGGTTGTTGTTGTTTGTTTTTTAAAACAGAACAAAACAAGAGTTTTAGGATCAAACTCAGAACCTCATACTTGCAGGTCAAGCATTTAACTGAGCTGTCTCCGCAGCCTAAGAAGGTTAATGAGGTTGGCGTGCTTATAAAGTAGACTCAGGGGAAACCACCGTAAGGTGGCATATTTCTAAAGGGGAATGGATGTGGTTTCATGGAGAATTTTTGTCAGTTCAGTTTCTATCTCTGAGATTCATGTTGGATGAAGTTTAATGTAACTGGTAGATAGATGTTCACGCCAAGCAGAACTGATATTTTTTCTTACTGTCTGAGTTAGCACACGAAATAAGTTTATACATATCATTGTACTTTGTTCAGATTTGTTCCCTATCACTCTTTCTTGCTTCCCTCTCCATGTGCGTGTGTGTGTGTGTGTGTGTGTGTGTGTGTGTGTGTGTGTGTGCGTGTATACACACATACATGTGGAGGCCAGAGGACAAACCCTGGAGCCATCCGACTTTTTTTAGACTCAAGGATCTCGCTGTCTCTGCTTCCCTAGCCCTGGAATCACACAGTTCCTCAGTTTTTCATAAGTCCTGGGGATGAAACTCAAGCCCTCCTGCCTGCAAAGCATGAACTTTACTGACCATGTCTGCAATCCTCCTTGTGTCTTTAAAGTCTCATTGTCTCCAGTCTCAGACTAGAGCTGGACGAAGGAGCCTCACAAGTTCCAAAAACTCTGTGGAGGAAAGCGCCATCCCGTCTGTACCTCTGGCCTGGGAGGGATGCCAGTCAGCAAAGGCACTTGCAAATGGCCCTTAATATTCAGGAGTGCCACATCTCCGCATCTCAGGCCATTTCAGTCTCAGCCGCCCAATTGGAAGCCACCTTGGGGCTGAGGATGTGGCTGAGTGGCAAAGCATTTGCCCAGCATGCACAAGGCCCTGGCTCCATCTCCAGCACAAAGGGATAAAACCAATGCCAGTTCCCCCTGCAGGGCCACATTCACTCACCGTCTCGGAGACCATACCACCTACAAACCAAGACACACTTCACTTCTTCTTTCCCATTGTGACAACCAACCCTGATGGGCAACCCTTCCATCAGAGCTTCCCCAGCCTCGTTCCCAAAACGGTCAGCAGCCCATCCCACCATCCCCCGAACCCGATGTGCCTCCAGAGAAGGCTCATTGTGCAACCAAGGTGAACGGCCACGCTGGCCAGCCCTAGGAGAGCAGGAGGCGCAGGTCTGTCCCCTCCCCTACCTAGTCGCATGAGCACAAACACTTAGAGCATTAAAGGTGGCAGGGAGATTCAGGGTTGGGGCAGAAGACCACAGTTGCTTAGTAGAACAACCCTCCCAAGTCTAGAACTCACACATCACAGCTTCGTTTCTTTACCTTGGTAACTGAGATGATGTTCTGCCTCCCTGGGGCCCTCCTTCCCTGAGGGCTTCCAGAAACTCCTCTGGGGGCTACCCAGCCTGTTTGAAAGACTGGGCGGTGACCAAGCGTCCCACTACCGCAGCTCCCAGGCGCTCCACTCTCACCTCTGCTAAGCAGGAGACTTGGCCTGAGGTCCAAGCCTAGAAGGTGTGGCCGGAAGCACTTTGGGGTCAGCCAAGGACAAGCTAGGACAGAAAAAGTTTAGGAAGGAAAAGCCTGCCTCCTGAGAGATCCAGAATGACAGGACAAAAGTAGTGAGAGCCGCCCTCTGATTTCAGAGGGGCTGGGAGGGACAGCTGTCAACGTGAATTCTTCTTGCGGCAAAGAGGTCACGAGCCTTTAGTAAGGTCAATGTCCACAGGGCAGATGGCCAAGAAAATGGAGCCCATGGTGCCTAGGGAAATGAACATGTGCCCTCAACCTCATTTACCAAGGTTGGTAAATGCTTTTATTATTATTATTATTATAACCAAGATATATCCTGATAAATATTGCTTCCCCTGAAAGGCGGAAAGTCTCTGGACCACTTATTTTTATCGTACTTGTTTTCTTTGCTAGCTTTCTGCTATGAAACCCTTACTCCGCTGGAAAATGTGCATGGCTAGGAAGAATAACAGTCACCTCCAGTGTCACCACCCAGGCTGCTGGCCACCTGCTTACGTGTGTACTCAGTGTTCACGGTCTTGTGTTGTCTCCTGTTTTTGCTTTAAATGTTATATTTATGTATATGAGGTTTTTGCCTGCAAGCATATATGTGCGCTATGGGTGTGCCTGGTGTCTTCTGATGCCAGAACAGGGCACCAGGTTCTGTAGAATTGGAGTTACAGATGGCTGTAAAACACCATGTGGGTGCTGGGAACTGAATTCAGGTTCTCTGCAACAGCTGCAATTGCTCTTAATCACTGAGTCACCTCTGCAGCCCCTTTGGCTTTGTTTTTTGGAACAGACTCCTTTAGCCCAGGCTACTTTAGCCAAGTTCAAAGCACTTGGCTACTCACTATGCAGCCAAAGGCAACCCTGACTTTCTCCTGCCTCCATGTCCCTAGTGTTGGGATTACAGCTGTCACCACCAAATCTGTTATCCTTCGCTGGGGAGGGAACCCAGGCACTATTCACGGTGGGTAAGTACTCTACCAACTATGCCACATCCCTAGCCCAAGTGATAGCTTAGTGTTTGTAATTGCTCTTCATGGCAATTATAGAAGTTTGCTACCCTCTTGGTTCTCATCTGAGTCTTCCCGATCCTACAGCCCCTTTCACATGATGCTGTCAGATACAATCCCCAGGATCTACTGGAAGAGAGTCCTGGAGTCACAGGCACTTATGTTAGGGACAAACGTCTAACCGAGGTGCCTATTAACATCTCAAATCACCTGGCCACCAGGACGGCAGTAAGCACCTGTTACAGAGTCCTGGCTCCTCGGCCCTTCTCCCCCTCGGCCTTACCCTAAACGTCTGCATCCCGAGCTTTGCTTCCCTTCCCCCAGCTTCTGATTCCTATATAAAGCAGCCATTTGGCTCTTGAGCTCTCTTGGGTCCCATGAGCTCTCTTGGCCCTTGGCTCTGCTCTTGGTCTCTTGGTTCTTCTCCCTGCTCCCTTTCTCTTCTTCTCTCACTCTCCCCGTCTCTCCTCTCATGGCCCAGTCTATTCTGCTAGCTGCCGGCAGATGCCTCCTGCCATGTTCTCCCTCATACAATAAAACCCTTCTCCTCCACCATACCTACGAGCGGCCGTGTCCTCATTTTCATCACGCTATGTCATTTGTGTATGTGGTTAGTGATTTGAAGGTTGTTTCTTCTAAAGGGGACAGCCTCTGAAACCCATGTTGTGTTCATGTTAGCCCAGCTACACGGTTTACTCAAAGTCAGTGTAAGCTATTTATTGGCTAAAAGTTGTACATAAACCTCTTGTACATTTGGGCAGTTGTGTGTGTGTACACGTGTGAGCATATGTGTGCATGTGGAGACCAGAGGACAACCTCTGCTCTTGTTCCTCAGGAGTCACCTACCTTTATTTTGTTTTGTTTTGAAGAAGAGTCTCTCGCTGCCCTGTAGATCACTAAGCACTGTAGGCTGGCTGGCCAGCAAACCCCAGGGTCCCGCCTGCCTCTGTCTCATTGGTACTGGGGTTGTGGCTGCACAGCACCCCGGGGACTTGCCTACCTCTATCTCATTGGTACTGGGGTTGCAGGTGCACAGAACTGGGGACCTGCCTATCTCTGTCTCATTGGTACTGGGGTTGCAGTGCACAGTACCCCGGAGACCTGCCTACCTCTATCTTGTTGGTACTGGGGTTGCAGGTGCAGAGCACTATGCCCAACTTTTTTTCTTTTCTTTTCTCTCATTGGTTTTGGGGATCAAACTCATGTCTTCATGATCAAAAGGCATGCATTCTACTGACCAAGACATCTCCCAAGCCCCCAAAGTAAGGGGGTTTTGTTGTTGACGTTTTTGTTTTGTGTGTGTGGTGTATAAGAACTTTTTAAAAATTGGTTTTGTTTTGGTTTTTACCCTGTACTACTGATCCACATATAGCTCAAATGCTGCTACTATTGTTTTGTCCTATTTTGTTGTTTCCTTTATACTCAATTGTAGCCAAATACCAGACTTCCGCATTTTGATCACTTCTCAGAATGTTGCCCTGGCCATGCATGTGGTCTTCCAGCTCCCCAGGGATACATGTGATTTGTTTTAAAGTCTGGTTTCCTTAAAGATCTTTGGCATTGGAGTAGCTTTTGTTCAGGGAATGTTTGGTCAGAGACTGTGGATCTCTGTGTATCACAGTTAATCTTGGCCATCAACGTGACTAAATCTGAAATCAACTAAAAGTCATTCTGCTGGGCGCTTCTGTGAAGGCCTTTTCTCCATCAGATTGACGCAGGGAAGCCTGCTGTGAATGTAGGTGGCACCTTCTGGTGGCAGCCCAGATAATAGGACATGGAAGAAGGAAATTCTGGTTTTGCTTGCTTGTCCCCACTCTCCTGATAAACTCACCTACCCTGTTGTCAATAAGTTTCTTCACTGGCACTAGAACGAACTTCTCTGGGCTTCTGATATTGACCAAAGAGCAGCAGCTCTCAGGAAACCTCCAGGACTTCAGCACAAGTTTGGGACTGCTGAGGATTCCTGCCTTGAACACCGACCAACATGCTGGATTCTTAGTCTCTTCTATTCAGCAATTGTTGGGCTGCCCAGCTCCACCATGACTACGAATTTAACAATTCCCCATTTAAAGTGTAGCCATTCTTCTACCAGTTCTATTCTTTTTAAAATCGTTTTATTTATTTTTATGTCATGCATATTGGTGCTTTGCCTGCGTGTACATCTGTGTGAGGGTGTCAGATCCCCTGGAACTGGAGCTACAGATAGTTGTGAGCTGCCATGTGGGTGCTGGGAATTGAACCTGGATCCTCTGGAAGAGAAGCCAGTGCCCTTTAACCACTGAACCATCTCTAACTAATACAGATTGTGGCACTAGAAGTTGGTTTTAAAGAAACAGAAATGTAAGGATGAAACACTCTAGTTGATTTGGTGATATCTGGAGCTAACTCTCCAACTCAATAAAACCTGAAGTTCCTAACGACTCTCCTGATGGCACAAGGCACTGAAAGCGCACCGTGTAAACTATGGAAAGAACTATGCAAGACAAACGCAGTTGACGCCCTCGCTCACCTCCTGTGAGAGGTGAAAAACGTGGTGACTACATACATAAGACTTTCGGAAGTAAAGAAAGCAATGACACTGACTAGCTACTTCTAGCATCTCTGGATACAGTGAAAAGGGAAAGGACTAAGTTCAGGGGTAGAAATTAACTGGCCCTGTCTAAGGGTTTCTAAGTGTACCCCAGAAAAGGGTCATCCCAACTCCAGCAGCCATGGCACTCAGGCTGCAGAAAATCAAACTGAAACCCTCACCATGCAACTGGCCAACCTGGAGCAAAGCTAAAGTCCAGCCATGGAGGGCGTCAGCAGTGAAACTGGGGGCACTGGTTAAAAAGGAGTGGGGTCCTCTGACTTGTGTGGGAGAGCGCTGAAGAGGTCGTAGCTCTCCAACTCTCGGGTTCTGGTAGGTTTGCTTTGGTTGAGGAAATAGTCTTGATGTAGAAGAAATGTGATTGCTTGCTGATTAATGGGCTTGTTGATGTAAAACCACAGCTGACATTCTCAGGGAACAAGAGTGAGTTTATTCTGGAGCCATTTTGAGTGACCATGGCCTGAGAATACAGATTTGTGGCACAACAAATACCGTGTTCCAACATGGAAGCGGTTTCACAGGGCTTTTTGGTTTTGCTTTGTTTTATAGTTTTACAGAACAAAGAAAATCAATTTTAAAATATATTGGTGAATACACCAGAGAGATGGTACAAGAAAATGGGGAGTTATTTAATAGGGCAAAGATGCAACCTGATGAATTCTTAGATCTTGGGTTGATGCAAGCCAGTGTCCTGCTAAGTTAATAGCTTCTAAGAGGTTTTCTTTTATTATCACAAGGTGTTAATTCAGATAGAGAGTGGAGCAAGGAATGGCTATCCCAGAAGGTTAGCACTAGCCCAAGATAAGGCAACTAGCCTCTGAACCTAGCAAATCCCAATCTCTCCACAGCACAGAAATCCAGCTGGTCCATCAGCCTCTGCAGACACACGCCATTCAGGAGGTTTTGTTGCTGTTGTTGTTTTCAGTTGTTCGTTTCCTCACAGAAACAGCTTTTTAGAAATGCTCTCATTCAAAGGCGGTAGCCAAAGTGACTTGAAATGAGCATGGCTGGAAAATTGGTGAGAAAGGCATTTGGGAAGTTTTTAGATAGATCTCATTGAATTGACAAAGGATGTGAAGATACTTGTGTTCTTCTACAGAGGAAGAGTTTAGTAGATAAAAGTACCCATTTTGTAAACAGTCAGCTCCCTAGTTACTTTTCTATTGCCATGACAAAACTCAACGACCACA